ACTAAGCAATTTTGTACTGAAAATAAAATCAGAACATTAGCTTTGCCAAAAATATGCTCGGGTTTGGATAAAAAACAATGGGATATAATAGCTGACATGATACGATTTATTTTTCAAAATTCAATAACGAAAATAAGAATATTCACCTTACCAAAAAACGAAAATATCCAAAAGAGCGACATTTTAAATACTAGTTATAATATAATTCCAAACACTAATATCAACTACAGTTTAAAAAAAGAAATAGCATTCATTGCAGGCTCATTTGTTAAGTTAAAAGAGGTACCGTATGACCGTGATTGTGGAGCCCACGCATTACGCATATGTTTACAAAATCTTAATATTAACAAAACAACAGCAGAAATTTTGAATATGCTAACTATTCCTAACTTAAAATCAGGCTACTATTTTAAAGATGATGACTTAGCTTTTATTTGTGACCAATTCAAGATAAATTTATTTATAATCTATGAAATTAACGAGAACTCTAACGCAATAGTATACTGGAAACCCAGTCGCCAAAATATAGGTATCTTCCATAAGAATTGTCACAGGACACCCGGTATATCCACCGAAATAAATAATCCACGCACCTTTTCAAATATAACAATCAACACGATATTTCCTAACCTTAACATAATAAAAGAAAACGTAGATGACTACTTAGACAAATACCAAAACGATTTGCAATTATCAAATCAAAACTTTGCAGAAAACAAAAACAAAGATAACAAAAAATTAATAATAAATACAGAATGTGGACAAAAAGTATTATCAATGAAAGTAGAAATTGACGGAACGGAAAAATACGCTATATTAGATACAGGCTCAAATCTGTCATGTATAGATTACTCGTTAACAAAAAATAAACAACTTATTAAACCTGAAGAAAATATTATAATAACAAGTGCAGACAATACAGAATTAAAACAATTAGGTAAAACAGAGATAACAATCAAAATAAAAGATGACCACTACCTAATAAATGCATATGTAATTAAAGGACTACATTGCAAATTGCTCCTAGGCAATGATTTTAACATTAAGAATAATGTAATAATTGACTTTGAAAATAAAAACATACAACTTAATAAAAATGTTATCATACCAATGGACAATAACTGGTATGACTATCACAAAAATAATATTACAAATAAATATACAAAAATCAATTATATTACCAGTATAAATTATAACAAAAGGAAAGAAAACCAAACCAAAAATGAAAATATAACAATTCCACATGAGCCAAAATTAAAATATGAAAATATTAATTCAGACACGAACAAAGACGAGAAAAAAAATAAAGAGAAACATTATTTTAAATTGGAAACACAAATTTTAAATAATAATGAAAAATGTGTTTCAGGGAACACTATCCCAAATTTGTATACACAAACGTATAAAGGCATGACAATAGGTAAAATAGAAAAAACAAATGATTCTGTCAACAAAGAAACAATCTCAACAATAATTAATAAACCGGAACAAGAAATTAGTGATAAACAAGGAACCGTTATAAGAATATCAAATGAATTAAATAGTGAACAGAGGGAAAAGGCAAAAAGTCTAATAAACAAATACAAACATTTATTTACATCCGACCCGCTGGACATCGGTTGCGCAAATGTAGAACCATGCGAAATTAACTTAAAATCAAATAAACCAATTTTTCAACCTCCCTACAGAGTAGCGCCAACCCAAAGGGAAAAACTAAAACTTTTAATAGATCAAATGATAGCCTCTGATATAGTTGAACCCAGTAGAAGTAGTTATGCTGCTCCAGTATTTTTAATACCTAAGAAAGAAATTGGGGAGTATCGATTTTTAGTCGACTATAGGAAACTAAACGATGAAACAATCAGTGATAAGCATCCTATCCCGAGGTCACAGGACTTGTTTAGGAGCCTAGAAGGAGCTAAATACTACTGCACGATTGACATGGCCCAGGGTTATTTTCAATTACCAATAAGGGTTGAAGACAGATACAAAACTGCTTTTATTACAGATTTTGGCCTTTATCATTTCAAACGTATTCCTCAAGGTTTTAAAAACTCAGGACCAATATTTCAAAGAATAATCAATAATTTGTTTAGTGATTACTTATATACGACTATGGTTGCATATTTAGACGATATTTGCTGTTTCGGGAAAAACTTTGAATCATCATTAGAAAGACTAAGAAACATTTTTATTCGGTTGGACGAGGCAGGACTAAAATTAAAAACAAATAAATGTGTATTTTTTAGCTCTAAAATAGAACTTTTAGGACACGAGGTTTCCAACAGAGGAATTGTTCCATTAGAAAAAAATGTAGTAGCAATAAAACAATTTCCTATACCTAAAAAGGTAAAAGATGTAAGGTCGTTCATTGGGTTAACAAGTTACTATAGGAAATATATAAAAAACTTTGCCAAAATTGCGAGTCCATTAATAGATTTAACAAAAAAGGAAAATAAATTTAGTTGGGGCGAGAACCAAAATAACGCTTTTAATACTCTAAAAAACTTAATAATTACGGCACCCGTTTTAGCACATTTTGAGGACACGTACCCGGTTTTCGTCACGACTGACGCTTCCTTAGATGGGCTTTCAGGTATTTTAGAACAGGAAAACCCGGATGGAAAAAAGCATCCAATTGCATTTGCATCTAGGAAACTAAAAGGCGGAGAAAAAAATTTTTCGACAACAGAGTTAGAAATGTCAGCCGTAGTATTTGCACTTAATTATTTTAAAGAATATCTAATAGGTAGGAAAGTTACTGTTTATAGCGACCACTCAAGCTTACAATATTATAAGACGATGAAAAATCCTTCATCTAGAATAACGAAATTTATCTTCAAGTTATTAGAATTTGACTTAGAAATTAAGCATAAACCGGGTGCAGGGAATTTAGCTGCAGACTGTTTATCTCGATATCCAGTAGAAAATATCAATACATTAATTACTGAATTAAAGAATTTAGAGAACAATGACCCGACAGCTATCAATGAGGTTAATACTGATATATTAAAAGAAAAACAACAATTGGATGAATTTTGTAACGGCATTATTGATGCAATAAAAACCAAAATTAATTCTAAATACAAAAAGAAATCTAGGCAATACTGTATAAAAAATGAATTACTTTATTATAAAAATTGGACACCCCATGGAGCAAATAATCTATTAGTAATACCAAAAAGTTTGATTAACACTATTTTGAAATCCTACCACGAATCAGTTTTCAGTGGACATTTTGGTGTAACAAAAACCTTGGCTAAACTAAAACAAAAATACTACTGGCCCACAATAATTCAAGATACTATACAATTCATAAAAACATGCGCTTCTTGTCAAATGATAAAAAATCCGACAGGTAAAGGCCATGGGTTATTACAACCAATACCTCTAACGTCAGGAAAACCGTTGCAAAGATTGACATTCGATTACTTAGGCCCATTACCCACTTCAAGAGGGAAAAAGTACCTTATTGTAGCGACTTGTAACGCAACAAAAATGGCGTTTGCAAAGGCCGTCGCAAATGCCAACGGAGCTGCAACAATTAATTTCTTAATGGATTTAGTAACGTCGTACGGAGTACCAAAATACTTTTGTAGCGATAGAGGCACTCACTTCAAAAACAAAGAAGTAGAATATGCGTGCCAAAAATTAGGTATTACGCAATTATTCTCTAGTGCATATCATCCTCAATCAAATGGAATGACAGAGCTCATGAATAAAATAATTTGCAATAGCTTATCACACTACGTAAATGAAAACCAAAAAGATTGGTCATTATACTACAAAATGGTAATTTTCGCCTACAACTCATGTCCAAGCTCGAGGTTAAAATTTAGTCCATTTTATTTACTCCATGGTATAGAAGCAAACCAACCATTAGACAATAAATTAACGATAGACAATGAATTATTTAACTTAACGAAATCCTTGAAACAATTACAAACAATTAGAGATACTATACCCAAAATTATCGAAAAGGAGCAGGCTATTCAAAAAAAACAGTATGACTTAAAACACAAATATATTAATTTTAACCCGGGACAAAAGGTATTAATAAAATTTGATTTCCATGAACCCAATAAATCAAAAAAACTAGCATATAAGTACAAGGGTCCTTTCACGATTATCGAAAAATTAACAGACGTAAACTACAGAGTAGAACTGATATTACGAGGAAAAAAAGAAATCGATGTTATACACGTACAAAGAATGAAACCATTTTACGAGACAGATATACCACAAACATAGACGGTCTATAGGTTAGGTTAGCCTATATAGCTTATAATTTAAGCGACTAAATATAAATAAATTAGGAATATAAAAGTTAACATAATAAAAATTACCGAAATTCCTATATAAGAATACACCACATAAAACACATAAACACATACTTATCCGTAATCACAATAATCATATTCCATATAAATAATTAGTATACTAACAACTCGGTGGTCCATAATAAAATGTGAATACGATAAAAAGAACGGTATAAAACAATAAGACAAAAACGATCCGGACGCTAAGAAGAACTATCGTACACTAACAAGCCTCAACAAAATCAGTGAAATAAATAATACGATTATTTAACAAAAAACAGTATACATATAATATATTATAGTCCTACGCTAATCTAATAAGAACGAACAACCAACAGATTAAAATGCTACTATACCGCCGTTTGAGAAAAAAAATATATATATATGTAGACGGTTAATGTATATAATATATTCCCGCGTAAGCATAAAACAAACACCCGGCAAAGATATTCTGCTGTACCTCCTTCACGTAAAATATAAAAATGCATGGATTCCTAGAAATATTGCTAACTATAAAAATAACATAGAGCTCATAATATAATATTATTAATCACCTATAAGTAACAGCGAGCATAAATAATGTTTTAAATTATTTTATTTATAGAATGATAAGTTAAAAACTCGAACATACGCACAGAAATACATAATTAAAGAGTGACAAAAGCATTTGATAAGAAAAAAATGGGACATTTTAAAGCAATAGAAAAACAATTATCAAGCATGAAAATACATGTTACTTTAATCACCGTGTTTTTTATAATAAAATCCAGTGAATCAAATTCTTTTAAAAATGAACAATTTACGAACAATCCAGGAATATATTTTGAAAAAATCTCCCCATTATTCTTAACTGTTTCACAGTGGAACCTAGTAACCTATTACAACATATCTGATTATGAACAAAATTATGCAGCAATTAACCTATATTATATTAATCTAAAAGACCTTTGTGATAAATACCAATCAACTTATGAAAAATTAACAGAAACTTGCACGGAATTACAAAAAATTAATTTTCAAACTATCAACAAAATAAACGAAGAACACGAAATTGTTCAACAATACCTAGAAATCGACGAAACCAATTACAACACAGCTAAACAACGAACAAAACGAAGTTCATATTTCGGCGGAATTGGAAAATTGCAACGAATTTTATTTGGAGTACTAACGGAAGAGGAAGGAGAAATATTTGAGGACAAGATCAAAACACTAGAAGAAAAACCTTAATGATTCAAAAAGAACAAATCAAAATATTCAAAAGTTCATTAGATTCAGTGAATGAAATTACTTCAAGCTACACAAAAATTAAAGACACCATAGATATTAATATGAATAAACTAAATAATGAATTAAAAATACAAAAAGACGAATTAAAAATCTTAAATATAGTAGAATCAATATTACTATATAACTCACTCTATACTGAATTACTAAATCAATACGCAAAAGATACCACCTTACTATTAAACATAATAACAAATGCACACAAAGGACAGGTTAATCCCCAAATAATTAAACCAAATGAATTATTGACACAGCTTAAAGATATCAAAACAAATTTACCATCAAATCTAAATTTACCTATAGAAATAAACGCTAAAAGCTATTTTGACTTTATGAAATTAATCGATTTAAATATTTTTTATGTCAATCATCTAATAATATTTGTAATAAATATACCACTCATAGAAAACATACCCTTTAATCTTTACCATATCATAAGTTTACCGGTCCATGTAAATAAAAACGATTTCGTTTTTATTCAATCTACCCACGAATTTATAGCGGTAGAAAAAAATAAACAGTCTTACATATTTTTTACCCAAAATCAAATTAATAAATGTAAAACAACTAAACAAAAATTAATCTGTGAATCAAGTATGCCGATTTCAAACAATATTAAATCAAGCTGTGAATTTCAATTATTTACAAAAGAAAACAATATGCCAGAAAATTGCGAAATAAAAACGGTACCAATATTTAGTGACCTATGGCACCAACTAGGAAATAGTAATCGTTGGATATACGCAACCCACAAGCCCATTGAGTTAATCGTAAGCTGCCAGGACGAAGTAGAGAATATAGAAATAAACAAAGCAGGAATATTAAGTCTAAATCCGAATTGTAAAGCTTTCACTAAAAACAACATTATATTAGCTAAATATCTGGGAAAAAGCAATTTTTCTAAAGACTACGTACCACAATTTCACTTATCTAAATTAACTGAACACTTCAATGACAAAATAAGACAACAACAACCCGATGGCGAAAACCAAATTAGCCTTAATACAGCGGTGAAGTTTAATGATTTAAAAATATATGCAAAATCAATGTCAACCTTAGATGAACAAATAACAAATGAATTAAGCTCAAAATCAAATGATAAAATAAAAACGGTACATTCTGTAGGAATATCGACGATAGCGCTAATATTAACCGGAATTATCCTATTCAAAATAATAAAATCACTCAAGACAAAAAATAAAACTAAGCCATTAGACACTGTGAAAGTAGTATACAATGCTCAGAGCAACCAACTTCAAGTCCAGGATAACACAGAATCAGCCTAAAAATAAATATTAAGATTAATTAAACATTAGGTAATAAATAAATATGTATAATTTTTCCTTTCGGGGGTGAAGAAAAAAAGAATAAAAAAAAAAAAAAAAAGAGAGACTAGGTTTAAGACAAAAGGGGAAAACTAACCATTATTCTTAAAAAAAAAAAAAAAAAAAAAAAAAAAAAATGTAAAATAATGCAATTAAGAAGAAAATTAACCATTTATTTTAAGGTACCTATACATAAAATGTAAAATTAAGTTAAGCTAGAAAACTAACCATTATTCTTAAGGCCAAATGTCAACAAAAACAAAAATGTAAAATAATAGAATTAAGTAGAAAAATTAACCATTTATTTTAAGATACACATAATAATGTAAAATTAAGTAAAAAATCAACAACTATTTTTAAGACAAAAAGCAAATGTAAAATAACTCAACTAAGCAGAAAAATGTAACATATTATTATTATTTTTTTTTATTTTTTTTTTTTTGGGGGTACATATAAAATTGTAAAATTTAAACCAACCATTTGTAAAAAAATTGTGTACCACCTAATATATAGTATAAAAATGTTCAAAATTAAATCAAAACTATTTCAAAACTTAATGAAAATAAATAATATCAAGAAACGAGAATCAAAGAATATAAATTTCAAATCCATTTTTACAGATGGACAAAAAAGAAGAAATCGCGAGACTAGAAAAAAAAAATCAAAAATGTCCAATTCAATATAAATAGAATCCAACAAGGTAAAGAAGCATACAATAGAAGCAAAATCAGGAGGTCTCGAAAACACGAACAACAACAGCAAGTAAAAAAAAACAAAACAGCAGAGACAATAGCAATAGAGGAAGAAATAAGAAAGAAATTTGAAAACCTGGTGGATTTTATAACAAGAGAACAAAAAAAATAAAGAAAAAGAATGATATTATAATGTCGTATAACCACAAATAGGTACGTAATATGCATATGGAAGATTCCCATTACAAAATACCTATGTGTAAAAATAAAAAAATATGAGGACATATTTTATTTGTAGTAATGGGACTGTTGTATATATAACGAAATTATAAAATATCAAAATAAAATACGAAGCAGAAAGTCAATCAAACCGAGTCAGCAAAATTGCCACAACTACTTAAGGCGACGTCTGCGACGGGAGCGGGGTTGTTGTTTTGTTCGTTTCGCTCATTGTAGTAGCCAGCGAGCTGCAGTATTTTTACGTTTCTTTTATTATTTATTTTTGACATATTTTATTATATTTAATTCTTTTTAAAAAACCAAGTGTCACTGTTTTTCTTTACGCCTTTTTTTTAGAATATTTTTATCTTACGAGTTGATACAGAGACGTTGTGGTGAATAACACTTTTAAAAACAGGTAGTAAGACACTGTGGTACTTACTTTCTCGCCCAGTACTCGTTATCGTGGTCAGTCGAGAAAGAGTAAGACTTTGTCTAGGTAAAAGATACCTCACCCTCGAACATCCAGTACTCGTTATCGTGGTCAGTTGTTCGGGAGTAAAATAACCTTAGAGTTGTATAGTGTAAATCCTGCTGGACTTTTATTTAATTATCCTATTGCGCAGTACTCGTTATCGTGGTCACCAAAAGGAGAACTTAAATTAAACTCATACAGCAGGTGTCAATAATTTACTCGTTCGACGGTTAGAGAATCGGAAACCGAAATATATCTGTTATATACGTCAAGCCTTTGCGTGGCGTATACGACAGAGTTAATTTGGGAAACCCTATACATTCTCTCGATTTCGAGTCGGTGCAGTGCTGTGCGCATTGCGCTTCAATTGAAATTCATCAAAGTCTAGATGATGGTCGTCTCTTGGAACAATATTATTATGATTTGCATAATACCACATTACTCAGCGGAGCCCTGCGGTTACATTATATGCAAAACGGAGAACAAAATTGTATAATAACTCTACACTTACTATAATACTGATGCGTCGTTCTACCCACTGTGCATTACGGTTATAACAGCCATAATAATAATATCCCGTTGTATTTACAACACACACAAAATATGGTTTCGAGATGTTTGTGACTTCGTCATATTATACTATTCGTCAATGCACTTGGAGGAGTTCATATCGGCGCGTAGGCGTATAATATTATTCGGATCGAATGCAAACCGAGCAAACCTGCAAAAACCAACTTTGACGCTAAAATAATGTATGTCAATGCATTACAATATTATGGTCATGGAGTCGGCACCCACACGCCGGTAGAGGTGTACAAAATAGTGAAAATATTGAGATGAAAATCAATTGCAAGTATAAATACGCAAACCACTTTTTTGGAACATTTGTAAATCGAAATTGGACGAAATCTGAAATGGATGTGTATTGCAGATATCGTTCTATCCGTGTACATCACCACATCGAAGTCCTAGTCGGTATAGATCTACGACAGACTTGCGAGTAGTCAGATTTCAACAGTAATGATGTAGTTAATTATTGCAGTGTACTCAATGAATATAATAAAGTATCTGTAATCCATCTATAATGATATATATATAATATATATACGGTATACACCTACATGTTACATATAATGTCGAGTATATATAATATACTTCAGTAGTGTATCGTACTAGGGACGCTCTGAAAAATACAATCAAACCTGTGATGATAACGCCAACACGCATAATATTATACGCGAGTTTCTTGTGCTATAATATTGTGAACCGTCAGCCGAGGAGGAGCACTGTAGCGACTGTGCAAGCCACATTATCGCCTGCTCGCCGACCGAATTTACGAGACTCGTAATATTATTATAAGGATAATAATAATAATATAACCAGACTTGCATATCACCGACGCCTCGAGTCGTCCTATAGCGGTTAAGATGGAACGGTTACGGCGACGAGTCCATTTCCTCGCATCGCGCGTGATCGATGACAAGAGCAGCCTAGAACGTTTTGCAGTGTAGATAGATACCTGTAACAGGTATGATAATAAGGAGATGATGAAGATAGTTGTAGTCTGCACACGACGCGTTACACGATTTTACAATATTTATTATTTTACATTATTATTATCGGCGTTTGATGAATAATAATATAAGCAGTCGAAAAACTAAAGAAAGCGATTTGTTATTAAACAATTAATAAAGGCTTCCACGTCTTATAGCTAGTTGTTAGCCTAAGAATATGAGTTATAATGGTTTAATTAGTTGGCCGCGTCATTGGCAGACGAGGAAATAATAATACAAGTAAAATTAAAATATTTTCAACTATATTGGAGAGGAGGTATTCATTTATTTAATTCTGTGTCGATGAAAGAACAGGACATTAATAAGTCAATGAGAAAAGTCACATAATTACCTTCTACAATTATGTGACTTCTAGGTATATGAATAATAGGTATATAAGATGATAAAGACGACGGCGCGGCGTTAGTATGCACACAACGCTACTAAAATATAACAATTTAAAATAATTATATTATTATAATAGCTTGCGATGAATTCACAGTCATTTGTCTGCATAATATTATTACCATTAAAGCTCTACCTAACCGCGGACCACTTGATATGCAACAAAATACAAGTAAAAACTACGACATCTGATTGGTTCAACACATATTATATCGTTGTAAAAAATAGTTTTTGTATTATCAATATCAATATTATTGTTAGCTATTGGTTAAATGAGATATTGAGATTTTTTACACGAAATCGAAAATATATCATACTATAATAATATGACTACCACGCTGGAAATTGGATTTCGTGAAAAATTAATAAATAAGTAAACCATATACATCTGCACGTTGCAAGTAAATAATATTATATTGTGCAAGATCCGTACATTTTGAAGCCTAAAATTAAAGAATGCGATTTATGCAATGGTTTTAATTAGTTGGCCGTCATTGGCAGACATGGAATCAATACTCAAATGATATTTAAATATTAAACTATGGTATAGAGTACTATAGACTATAGAGAAAGGAGGGGTTTTTTTATTTGATCCTGTTTGATACTTTAATGAAAGAACAGGACATTAATAAGTCAATGAGAGAAATCACACGGTCCGCTTCTACAATCGGGGTGGGTTCGCCAAAGGCTGCAACATTGTTGATCCCTAAATTGAAAGCGTATTTAGGTAGCAAATAAATGCGACCCATATCCTTGTTATGCATATTATACATTTATGTTTATTGTTTTGATTTTGCTTTATGTTTATTGTTTAGGTTTTAATAACAAGCGTAATGCCGATTGTATAGAATATTCGTTGATTTTGAAAATACATAATATGTTTCATCATTAACCGTGGTATGCTGGCGTATGTACCATTCATTATAATAAAATATTAAAATGGGCGATTTCACCGATCATATTATTTAGTATAACGCGTATGGTGCTTCTGTTTTCCAGAATAAACGATTGACGATCAATTTGAGTATAAAACATATACATATTATATATTATTAGATATTTTACTTCCACTTTAACACGTCAAAAAAAACTGGACGTATTCGAATCGACCTTAATGTATAATATTTTCTCGACAAAACCCGCAGAGTAAACACCATTTGGACATACGGCATACAAATACGGGGACAGCTGCCATATCATATAACCTTCTTAACAATGTCGTCTCCCTGAAATCGATAATATTGTACCATATATACTCTCGCACAGCACCAAATGCCCTACTGCGTGTTTGCGAATCGCGACACTATATAATATTTTATATAACATGTTATTATGATATAATATATTATTATTGTTATTACACTCAATACTCTCTCCCTCAGTCCGTTCGGGTAAGTCTGCATTCGAAAGTGAGTAACGATCACAATAAGACATCCTTCGCTGTTATTATTATAAGACGTAGTAGGTACGCAGACGCGTCATTTCGAACGATCGCCAAGACGTCCGTTGCACTTAAAAAATATCCCAAACATAATAAATAAACTGGTCTGTTCTCAACGCCAGCTGCACGCCTATTCATCGACAGCCATCGATATATTTTATACAAATATTACTATA